TATCTATCTATCTATCTATCTATCTATCTATCTATCTATCTATCTATTTATCTTGCATACAACGTGCTGTTGGCATGTATGCCTACAGGTTGGAAGAGGGCACCAGATCTTATTATAGACGGTTGTGAGCCACCATGTGGTTGCTGGGAATTGAACTCAGGTCCTCTGGAAGAGCAGCCAGTGCTCTTAACTTCTGAGCTATCTCTCCATCCTCCCACCCCCACCCCTGAAAAACAGTATTTCTTACAGCAGTTCAGGGCAGGGCTCCTCCGCCCCTGGCGAGGCTTGGCTGTCAGTGGAGGGCTCCAGACGGAGTGATGCAGACGGTAGCACGAGCTGGGCTACTGACGCGAGTTGGGGATGCTGGCGAGAGCGGTGCCCCGGTGCCCTTTCGCTTAGTCACTAGCTGTCCAGTCGCACACGTCAGGCAGAGCTGGGTCAGTGGCAGAGAGAACTGCACCCAAGGCACCCGTGCTGACCAAGAACGGACACCATGCATCTCAGCCATGAACTGGCTCACTGGGAGACAGCTGGATTCAGGACTTGGGTGCCCCCTGAACAGAACCCACTCTTCCGCTTTCACTGTGTTCTCAGGAGTGGCACCACGGGTGTACCACAAATCCTGGAAAGAGGCTTGTTATGCTGAACAGGATCTTTGATGCTTCATGATTTGTTAGAACACGCACAACTGAATAAAAATCCAAACTGAGCGTGGTAGCCCATGATGGTGATTCCAACCCTTGGGAGACTGAGGCAGGAGGACCCTGAGTTCAAGGACAACCTGGGCTCATTTGTATATTAGCATCTGGAAACATTCTTAATTTACCTAGAGTAAGCTGATGACTGCTTCCAGTCCAGGAAGAAGGGAAAGGAGAAAGGGAAAGAGAAGGTCATTTTGCTGGGCAGCAGATATGATACCAGCTACGGCACCACCTACGGCACCAGCTACGGCACCAGCTACGGCACCAGCTACGGCACCAGCTACGGCACCAGCTACGGCACCAGCTACGGCACCAGCTACGGCACCAGCTACGGCACCAGCTGTGGCAGCAGCTGTGGCAGCAGCTACGGCACCAGCTACGGCACCAGCTACGGCACCAGCTATGACACCAGCTACGGCACCAGCTACGGCACCAGCTATGACACCAGCTGTGGCACCAGCTATGGCACCAGCTGTGGCAGCAGCTACGGCACCAGCTATGGCACCAGCTACAGCACCAGCTACGGAACCAGCTATGGCACCAGCTGTGGTAGCAGTTACAGCACCAGCTATGGCACCAGCTACGGCACCAGCTATGGCACCAGCTATGGCACCAGGTATAGCAGCATCTAGGGCAGCAGTTGCTTTCTATGCATCCTTTAATCCCACGGCAATATGAAGATTCTCATTAGCCCATTTCACAGAGCCACAAAGTACATTTCCAAGGTCATGACCCTAAGTGAAGCAGGATCTGAAGGACAGTTCAGTTAGACTTGGAGGGCCATCTCCATTTCACTATACCACACTGCTGGCAGTAAACAACAGAGGTTTTTGGACAAAAATTCACTGGTCTTATTTATCAGAGTCTACTAGAACCAACTCTCAGGAGTTCCCTAAAGTGAGCATGGGATTACCCCATTCTTGGACAATTTGAGAACAGCAAACAAGGGAGACAGGGCTTTCATATGGCTCCAATCAGTGTAGTGTAGTGTAGTGTAGTGTAGTGTAGTGTGTGTGTGTGTGTGTATGTGTGTGTGTGTGTGTGTGTTGTGCCCAACAAAATCAAGTCAAGTCTGGTGGGGACCCAATAAAAAGGAGAGGGGAGGTGTTGGAGAGATGACAGTGGATGACAGCAAAACTGCTCTTGCAGAGAACTTGAGTTTGGTTCTCGGCACCCACAGTGGGTGGCTCATAACCCTGTAACTGCAGCTCCAGGGGCTCTAATGCCCTCTTCTGGCCTCTGCGGGCACTGCACCGCACTCAGGCACATACCCACCCCGCCCCACATACACAGAGCTAAAACATTTAAACCATTGAAAGAAGATGCAATTCTATTATTCTAAAAGGAAAAGCTTTCAGTCTTATTATATTTCTCTCTCTCTCTCTCTCTCTCTCTGATTTGCAATTGCATTGTTGTCTAGTTGCATCTTAAATGCCCTTTTCTTCACTTTGACTCTCCTTCTTTGGTTTCTTTAGGTGAAAACCTAGGTCATCTAGACTTTCTAGTTTAATGACCCCACACTCTATATTTTTCTGTGCATCTGCATTCCCTCCAAAGGACTTTCTTGTTTGACCGTGTTAATGGGTCATGTTGTGGAGGTTTGAATAAGAATGGCCCCATATGTTTGAATGTTTAAGCCTCAGGGAGTGGAACTACTCGGGAGGGATTAGGAGGTATGGCCTTGTTGGAGGAAATGTTACTGAGGGTGGACTTTGGGATTTCAAAAGCGCAAACAAGGTTCAGTGTCGCCCTCTTGTTCTATCGCCTGCAGATCTGGATGAGGAAGCTCCAGCTCCTTCTCCAGCACCATGCCTGCCTGTGTGCTGCCGTGTTCCCTGCCATGACAACATGGACTAAACCTCTGAAACTGTAAACAAGCTCCAACTAAACGCTTCCCTTTATAAGAGTTGCCATGGTTATGGTGTCTTTCCACATCAATGGTAACCTTAACTAAGACGTGTGTGTTATTTCATTCCTCTCATGATGCTTGTTTCTGAGTATCTTCAGCATGTTCAATTCTCTGCACAACTGAAATCCTTTTGCACTCACTGAGAATCGTTCTTCAGCACAGTAGATGCTCACCTTGATGTGTGGTCCTTGTGTTTTGGAAACTCGTGTGTGTTCTGATTCCTTGGGTGAGAGGTTTTTCACTAAATCATGCTGGTTGAACGTACCCCATCCTTCCTTGGTCCCCTTTTTTTCTTTATCTGTCTTTATGTTTTGTAGGGAGAACTTTCTATGATTCCACATCATCTTTTAAGCCATGCCCCTTCTTTATCTGTTGGCAGTAGCTGCATCATGGCACACACTTCCTTACAGTGATGCCTCACACTGTGTGAGAGCTTTATGATCATGATTTCCACTGTCCCTTCCCTGGCCTTTGTGCTAATTTAGCATATATACTAGCGTACACATTACAAACTTCACAATATATTGCCAGTACTTTAAGCATCCCATTGTCTTTTGCTCTGCTGTGGGTGTGTGCTGATGGGAATGTGAAATGGTACGACCACTTTGGCAAAGGACCGGGCAGCTTCTGAAGCCAACGTCTCTGACCCCAACACTCCACACTAACGTGTTTGCACAAAGGAAACTGGAGCTTGTTTCCACAGAGACAGAAACGTGGATGCTCACTGCTGTTTCATCGCTGGTAGAAAGAAACGGAGCAGCTCAGGAGTCCATCAGCCGGTTAGTGTCCTCAGGGACTGACGTATCCATATAACAGAACACTGTAAGGCAGGCGCACAGTGCTGACACCTGAATGGAACTGGTATATAATTATCACACTGCACTGAGGAAGCCAGAGAGAGCAGATTGTGCTACTGTGCCCTGTCAGTCAATCACCTGACGTCCCAGAAAATGCAAATTCAGTAATCAGCCAGCCCAGTGGTCATTGGGAATCAAGATCGAGAGAGGGGATGGATTGTAACGTAGCACAGGACACTTTTGGGGGGTAGTAGATAATGATCTTCACCATAGTGATGTTTCCATGGCAACACCTGGGCCCAGACTCAAAGCTTATACTTTAAATATGTGATTTATTACATGTCAACTAGACAGCAATAAAAACATAAACATTTATTGAGCAGGTTTAAAGCAGATTAGGAATGGCATAAGTGGTCAGTGAACTTGATAACACCACATGGTCCAAACTGAGAAAATTATATTGAGAAACCAATGGAGAAATGCTCAGCTTGCAGCAGGACAGCGTCTAACAAGCTAACATATGTGCACCCAGAAGTTCCTATGAAGTGAGACCAGGGGACAAAAATATATATATACAGAGAAATAATGGGCAGCTTCCCCAAATTTTCAGCCAAAGATCAACCCTAAAAATTAGAATATAGAAGAATGAACACAATGATCACAATGATCAAATTCTCAAAAATCGAAGCTAAAGAAGAGCATTAGAATTAGCCAGTGAGCCCAAGGGGACTGGGGGGAGTGGATCAGTGGTTGGATCCTCAGCATAGTAAAAAAGAAGGAAGAATGAAGAGAGAGGAGGAGGAGGTGAAGGAAAGAGAAAGAACAAAGAAAAAGAAAAGAGGAGAGAAAGAAGGATGAAGAAAGGCAGGGAGGAAAGGAGGGGAAGGGAGAAAAGGAGGGGGGGAGGGAGGAAGGGAAGGAAAGGAAGGAAGAAAGGAAGGAAGGAAGGAAGGAAAGAAGGAAGGAAAGAAGGAAGGGGAAAGGAGGAAGAAAACACATTTTTAAAAAAGTATCTAGGATAAAAAAGAGGGAAGGAACCCATAGTGAACCAGTCTGTTTAATTGAAGCAGGAGACAAGGCAATGAAATCCAGTCCCATGTTGCTTTAATAATGTTCTGAGATACATACTGTAGGGAAGTTTTGTCATGCGAGCATCATTCGGTGGACCTATATAACCCAAGATAGCCACAGTGCCACCAGACACATCATCTTTGGGGTCATCCCCTTTCATAGGCTTGTCACTGGAGGAAACATCACGCATGTCACCTGAAGGTACAGGTGTGTGTAAGACAGGAATTTGTGCGTATGTATGTGCAGTTGTGTGTCCCGCACTTTTCTGTGAAACCTCACTCTCCTGGCACAGGGCGCGCTTCCTGTACCAGGTTGCCACGAGTCTGGATCAATATCCTAGGAGTTGAACAGACACACACACACACAGAGATCGGATCATTTGCCCAAAGGGTAAATGTCAATCTTTATTCAACACACGTAGGCTTATATACTTGGAGGTAAGAGGATGAGAGCCCCCCTCCCACCTGGGAGTGAGATCATAGTGTTGACCGCCTGGCACCAGAGGACTGAGCCTCCATGCAGGGGGTATCGAGCTGGGAACCCTGACAGACAGATGGGAGGAGATTTAGGGCACCTGTGAGGACCTTCTTAGCAGGTGAAATTATCATAGCAATGACAGAAACAAGGCTTTGAACTAATTCCCCCCCCCCTTGCTAGCAGAATGAGCAGGGGAAGCTAAGCTGGTTAGCATCTGTGTTTAGGCCTCAAGGAACAGGGAAGACAGGGCCCTACAGTTGTGCTTACCTAGAGGGCCACATGAGGTGTCTTCCACCTTAGTTTTTTGTGACAAAAACTTAGTCTTTTACTGAACAGGAAACTCTGTTTCAACTGGACTGGCCAGCGAGCCCCTGCATTGAGATTACAAGTATACGCTATTGCATGGCTTTCTACACAGGTTCTGAAGATGAACTCAAGGGCCTCATGTTTGTGCAAGGCAAGCACTTTATTGATGGAGCTTTTATGTAGGTCCAAGACAAATAATACTTTAAAAAAATTAGACGTAAAGGGTCAGAGAGATTGCCCAGTAGTCAGAGCACTGGTTGCTCGTACAGAGGGTTGGGTTTAATTCCCAGCACCCATAATGTGACTCACAACTAGTCGGTAACTCCAGTACCGGGGGATCTGATGCCCTCTTCTGACTTCCACAGGAACCAGGCACACACCTGCTGTAAAGATATACATGCAGGCAAAAATACTCATGTACATACAACAAAATAATATAACAATGCGTAAAACCATGATGAACTAACAAATTTAAGCAAAGGTCGGTATCCCTGGCATCTCCTGCTGCCTCCACAATGGTGTCTGTGCTGTGAGCACACCCTCATTACAGACTCACCTTGAAAATTTCACTCTGTGCTTGGTACTTCAAAGTCAACGGAGAAATTTGCTGAAGGAGTCAGTATCTTAAATAGAACAGGAATACGACATACAAAAGTTACAGGGACTGCTGTGTTCAGTCTCTAGAAAATCTCTCAAATAAACAGGAGGGAACATCTGCTAGCTGCTGCAGACATCGGGGGACAGCTTCTTGGGGGACCTCTGACAGCTTAGATGAAGTGTGATAGCAAGCTGATTAGCTGTCACCTACCTGTCAGTGTTGACTCAAGGAGAAATAGAAAATCTGAAGTCAGACTCCTGGCCTCTCTCCCGGATCAACAACAAGTGCTATTGATTGCTGTGTTTATTTAATAGCTAGACTGTCCAGTGCATCTTTATTCCTTTGTCATTTTTACAAAGGTGTGCCGAGCATCACCTGGCTTCCAGACACTCTATTAGGTAAGAGAGATGCAATGATACTTCCCACGAATAGAGTCAATTCAGCAGAATTTAGGTTCATTCTTACAAAAAAACC